ATATTTATGTGGTGGTCCATCTTGCAGGCACTCTTTTCAGTCAGATACTGCCTATCCTGTACCTGTGCATTTGATTTTTCCTGCCTAAGTGCAGGAGCTTACTTTTCTCATCATTTAACTTTATGAACTGCATTGAGCTGAATTAGAGGGAATCTTCTGGAGAAAACTTGAAGCTCACTCACTGCAGGGAGAAGGAAAGGTGAATCTTGCAAATAGAAGTTGGTCATGTAATGTTCATATGGTACCACAGCTACATTTAATTCGTATAAAAAACTTTGGAGAGCAAGAAATCAATCTATTCCCTCCACTTGAAGTGCAATAAAGTGTGATTATAGTGCAGGTGTGTATATGATTTTTTTAATTAACCTCACTGTATCCCTGATATTAATAAGTGGTCACTGGGTACTGAGTGTAGTTTTCAGAAACATATTGTTATAAAAATAAATGATTTTTCACTGAAACAACAACATTGTGGCTTAAAACTACTGGCATCTATTTGATCATAAAGTAAAATTTGCTAAAATATGATAAAAGAGAAAGAAGGTTTTCACTAAATATTTAGTGTTATTAATGAACAAAACATGGGTGATTTGCAATTCTAAGGCAATTGAGAATAAGCTGGAATTTGAACAATTACAAAAACTGACATGTTGCCTCTTGGTCCTTTTCCTGATTAAGCTGAGAAGTCTATGATCGCCTGGACAGTAACACCACAGGTGACCTGATAGCAAAATACATCCACATATTTGAAAGATCAGAATGTTGTTCTGTAACATGGAAGCTCTTCAGTAAGTCTTCTAGAATTTTGTAAAATAGTAGAGGAACATTAAATAACAATGATCCTCATATTTTTGAGCTTGAATTGATATGCAGGATTTTATTTTAAAAAGTATTTGTTCACACTACTGCATGTATCAAAAAGTAATATAAAAACTTGAGAAAGAATAACTGACAAACATGATGAATGAAAGAGACAAATTGATACCACCAACATAGGAAGAGGCACATGTAATTTTGATTTACAAAGAAGTGAATGGTCCAGAAAAACTACAGTCATATAGACCAATAATACTAGTTGAACTAAACAGGTTATATTCTGAAAAGGAACAATAAAAATAGTAGTAGGTTAATAATTAACAGTAGACCATATCAAAGAAAAACCAGTAGTAATTTTTTTGGAAATAGAAAAAGGTTTTGACATCATCCATTTATCATTTCTTTTAGAAGTATACAATAAACTAAATCTCAGAAAAGATTTCAAAATTAAATATATGTATATCATTGGCAACTGCAAAAATCAGAGCTGATGGAACATGTTTTTCAGCTTTCCAAATAAGCTGGTAAGATTCCCATTTCCCCCCTTATTAATAATTGCTTTAGAAATATTTGCAAAAAGCTTTGAGATGACAAACAAATGCCTCATCTCAAAATCCTTACAGAGTAATATAAGTGTAAATGTTATACAGATGATGTAATATACACTCTAACAGAAACACAAAGTGCAAAAAGACACTTGATGAAAACAATTCACAGCTTTGGAGATATAAAATCAATGATCAAAAACATAAGTAATCACAAGACATTTAATCCAAGGAAATTTCTTGCAGGAAGAATCTGGCTGCCAGATAACCCATAGTGAATTATCCTGTTTGCATTTGACATGTAATAATCCAGACATATACCAAAACAATTATGGCAAATTATGGCAAAAAATTAGAACAGATCTGAAAGCTGGAACAACTAAAGGTTTTCTGAGTTAGAATCAATTATATTTACCAAAATGAATGTTTTACCCAAGATCCGTTTCCATATTTGTTTCACATGATACCAATACTATTTTTTTTTAATTTTTTTTTTTAAAAATGTCAAGAAATTGTTAGCATATTTATATGGCATGGGAATAAACGCTAGAGTCAAAGTTAAAAATTTTAAAGTCAAAGAAGACATTCATGTCCTTCCTCTTCCAAACTTCAAACTGCACTTCTGAGAAAGCTGTTTGACAGCAGAATGTTAACACTGGAAAGAGCTGGCCTAGCTAATGTGCTCCATCAATAATTATGGTATAAGACACAAAAGACAAAACCTAAAAAGACACAAAGTTTGATAAAAAAATATGGAACTCAACAAAGAATATAGTTAGGTCCAAAAAATTCACCATCAGCTTATCTTCTAAATGGTTTTCATGTTGGAGATTACTATAGTAAGAAAAATGTAATTTCACATGCAAATATAGTCCATCCAGATCTTATGAATAGATTAAAGACAGTAAGAATGTGAAGACCAAAATAGACCATGGTTGATTAATCTATAAAGATACACCAACAAAAGTACAAAGATAGAAAGAATAAAATCTGATCCCAAAACAAGGGATATTAAGAAAAATTGCAGAATTTGAAATGTTTATACAGAATCAAGATGTCACGAGTCATCTATATATAAACTTCTACTTAAGATATGATATAGAGACAAAACAAATAATGCAACACTTTAAAGAAATAGTCCCAGTACATTCCATAAATTTTAAATTATCCATACTTATAGATGCAAGGACAAACTTTGGCCAACACTGGAACAAAGTCATAGTACCAATGATATCTGACTAGGAACTTAAATTTGGAGAGTATGCAGGAGTGGCAAAATTAACCATATAAAAGTTTAACCAAAGCTTGACCAAATTTAAGCAAGAATGGCTTACATATATATTACATAATATGCAGCAAGCTCAGAGTATCATTTCTAAAGTTTAAGCCAATAGCTACTACAGATTAAGTGCAGTACAAAAAAGTGAAACTCAAATATAAAATATTTATTTTATTTTTCAGTTATATTTTTTCTTTTTTTCTTTTAACATTGTTAAACAATAATGTAGTGGAGATTTTGGCACCGAGTTAATTTTTATATCATAAAAACAACTCAATGTATTTTGCCTGGCATGACTTATTTTTATTAATGTCACATTGAGCATTAATTATATAAGTTTAGTAATTCTTTGTCCATTTAGTGATTTTATCTTTTCTCAAAATACACCTTTTTAAAATAATAAATAAGAAAAAAAAATCTTGTTCACAAATATGATGAATGCATAAATCAGGATAGTAGAAATTATAGATCATTGAAGTAAACGATTAGATAACTTTCTTTACTGACAGAAAACGTAAGAAGATATTTGAAGATAGCACTTGTCAAATAGAATCATAGTAATGTTCTTCCAAAATATTAAAGAAGCAATTTTTGCTCTTTTAAATGTGCATTCTCTAACAATTCTCTAAGATAAATAGTGGTGTTGTTAATCCCACCAGTTAAACCTGTGCTTGGCTTTTCTTGTATTAATATTTGTATTAACATGTAGACATTTGTATTAACATTTAGACATACACAGAAAAACTTTTCATAACAATGGACATTGAGGTAGGCCTCAGAGCCAATGCTACCTCATGTTGCTGAACATCAATTTCTGGGAAATAAAATATGTAAAGTATCAAGCATGATGTTCACAAAATATTTGAATGTGATTAAAGATATATGGGATGCTACAAGCAAAGTCATACTTAAGTCAGAATTTTATTTACTGAGAAAGCACATGTTTCTTATTCCTAATCGTATAATCTAAGAAACCTTTGATTTTCTAGCAATTTTCTGAAAAGTGCAGAGTTCTAAATTAAAAATTCAGTTTACTTCCACCCTATTTTCTTCAATCTGGAAAATTGACGGGAGGGGAATAGCAATAACCGAACTTGTCAGTCACAATAAAAAGAAGATACTTTTCTTTGTATTATTTAAACGAGCCATTTGGGGGTTGAAAGGCAATGTGAATGTTTGGACAGCACCAGAAATATGAAAGGAACTGGCAAAAACTCAATCCTCCCACCTGCTTTTGGCAATCGGCAGGTTGAGGCAAGGTCTATCTATCATTGTATTTGCATAACTCAGTGAACACTACAATCAGCCCTGATCAACCCTATCCATTTATCCATATAAGATCAAGAAGTGTTGTGCACTCCAAGCCACTGTAATTGACAGCAACAGGGAGTGAAGTACCACCACCATTCCCAATCTATCTGTCCACAGACAGGAAAATAATTAAAATGCTTATATTTGTTTTTCTCCTAATATCAGGATTAGAATACCCCAAAGGTGCTTTTTCAATAGGCAACTGGACTTTCTGATTTTTCTTTGAAGATGTTTCTCTCATCGAAGAAGCATCTTTAATTCTGATTGGATGGTGGGGAATGGAAGGATTATACTCCTTTGAGACAGCCGGTCATTTGCATCCTTTTAGAAAGTCATTAAAAAGGCCACTTGGAGGTTTATCTGTGTCATCAGAGTCACCCGAGTAGTGCAAATGGGTGTTCTACACTTCTTGGAAGTGTAGAAAGGAATGTGTTGTCAACTGGAGACAGATGTTGGAAGGGACCTTGTAGGCCATCTAGTCCAACCCCCTGCCCAAGCGGGAGACCCTACACAATTTCTGACAAATGGCAGACCAAGAGAGGTCAAAGAAGTCAAAATTGAACAGCCCTCTCTCAACAGAGGGGGAGGGATACAACACCATCTATCTCCTGTCGACAACACAGTCCTTTCAACAGTTCCAATAAGGCTCCACATCCATTTGCATCAGGTGACCCTGATGACACAGATAAACCTCCAGATGGCCCCAATGACTTGTTAAAAGAACGCAAATCACCAGCTGTCTCCAAGGAGTATAAATTCTTCCATTTCCCACCATCCAGGCAGAGCTGAAGAAGCTTCTTGAATGAGAAGTGAAGCATCTTCAAAGGGGAAAAAACGGAAGTCCAGTTGCCTCTTGAAAAAGCACCTTTGGAACAACCATGACCTGGATGACGAGAATCTCCATAGACATTTAGGATTAGATTATGTGCTGCCTCCCTGGCCATAAAAAAACCCAGATGCTTCCAGTTACTGTCACCATATAATGCACTTTATCCATGGTTTGCTACATGGATTGCTTATTTTGCCTTATTTTGGTGAATTACCTGCTCTGAAGATAAGTTCTTGCTTTCTGATTGTAGCACAGATGTTGTCTGGATTTTTTTTTTCTGGAAAAACTTTTCCCATAGGAATTGATATGATAAATGAAAATTGCTTTTTAATAATTAATAGTTAAATACTTTTAATAATTAAATGGTATATTGGAGAAGTGTAACTTAAGTGGAAAATAATATATCTATTTTTGCAGAAAGAATTTTTTTTCATTACTGGTAAAATGTGCTACGACTGAAATGTACATGCAGTGAGCACAGTCATCTTAGTGGACAGCTGTAATAAGGAAGACACTGTTGTTGATGAAGTGGGGAAAAGATGGCCAAGTGAAGAAACTGTGAAGTGATTAAACAATTGCCAATTGTTATAGAAATTTGTTCTTTTAAATTACTATCAGAATTCAAAACACATCTCAATCTATACCTAGATGTATTGTTTGATAATGAATTCTTTTTCTAACCGGAATAAAATTCTTTTTGGAGATTTGACAAGTTTACAAACTATAAACTAAATCAGGGATATTTGGTAATTCTTTCCTTAAAAGCTGGGGATAATGTACTTGAAATATGTATAGCCACATATATACAAATATCCAAATTAGGAAGGAATCAGGTATAATATATAAGAGAATGTTTCATTCAAAATGTGACAAATATAGCAACACATTCACAACACAGTGCAAATAGTAGACAAAAATCAAGAAGTAGGATTCGCACTTGCCTGAGTTTACCTGCTACTGTCTAGGCTTATTGAAAAACTTACAGTTTTAAACCACTTTGAACAAACCACAGATACATATAAATGTTGTGCAAACATGTAAAGAGACTTGGTAAAACTGGTAAAACTGAATGTATACCTGGCAATTATTTAACATATCAATACTCTTAAGACACACTCTTAATCTGAAAAGAAGACACTAAAATGTATGTGTATGTGTGTCTGTATGCACACACAAACACATTCACACACTAGTTTATGTACTACATACATAAACTTTTACATGCCTTCCTTTCACTTAGGAGTGTGGAGAGAGAGAGGGAGGGAGGGAGAGGTGTATAATTTGTTATAACCATAAAATATGATGACATCTAACTGGACTTCATTAGTTCCTGGATGAAAGACCAGCAGAAAGCCCCAGGTCTGTAAAGATGGTACTAGATTGGAAAATTAAAATATTGGAAAAGACAATGAGTAACCTCTTCTATACTGTTGCCAAGAAAACAACATAGATTTCTTAATGTGGTCATCAAGGATCAACTCAAGGTAGATTTATTATGAAGAATCACTTCTATCTAAAGATCTCCCAGTATAGATATACCATAGCATGATAACAAGAAGAATGCCCTAAAGCAGGGGTGTCAAACTCAATTTCACTGAGGGCCGCATCAGGGCTGTATTTGACCTTGGAGGGCCGAGGTGGTGGGTTGCCGGGGTTGGGCATGGCCATGGTGGGCGTTTGACACAAGCTCAAGATGCATTCCCCCTTTCTCTTCGTTCTTTCCACAGTTCTTTACTATGACTATTTTCCTACCTCTTCTACCAGATATTACCGGTAAACATTTATTACTTATTCTTCATACTCCACTAAACTCCCCCCCCCCATTATTTAATAGTAAATTAAACCTCTTTTCTAATACAAAGGAAGGAAAAACAAAAAATAGTACAGTGCTACTTAAAATATTAAAATGATTATAATCTATAATTAAATGCTAGATTCTTTCCAAGTGCAGGGGTGTCAAACTTGATCACTTCATGATCCGTATCATGATGTATCGCAATGTTTTTTGCCTTTGCAGAGCCAGGGTGGCCTGGCCTGTGTGGGCCATATCCAGCCAGTAGGCTGCCTATTTGACAGGCCTGTTTTAGTGTAACTTAAAAGAAGTCCAGTGCCTCTCTGAAATACAGCGCATATTCTCCTGTCCTTCCCCTGCAGTTGGTAGAGGTATTCAAGAACATGTCAGCTAGCTTACATTGTGAATGGAAGACAATAGGTAGAACTATTAAATATGAACTGTGAAGAAAGATATTTTAAACTAGTGTCTGTTTCATGGACAGCAGGCTCAAGGGAGGACAACTCATAAAATATGTGACTGAAGATTGCAATGCAAACCCCACCTCTTTTGTATTGCATTCATGGCATCCCATGTAGTACTTAAGGAGTACAGTTTACATTGTAACCATTTTGACATAACTTGGCTTGCTGCAGACACTGATATGTTTGCATATGTTCCAAAAGATACACTTATATTCATATTGTGAGATTGCTATCATAAATAATTCCTAGCTCTTTAAAATCTTAGAAACACAATATATGAAAGCAGAAAGCCATGCCAATAAATAAATTCAACTGTTTCTTAATTTTTCAAGAAACAGTTCAAAATCTTTTTTTATCTTATCGATACATTTGTAATCCAATGTCATATTTTCTCCAAATATTTTTCCTTCAAACAAATACATATACATATACATATAGGAACTGTTCAGTTGGTCTTAAAAATTGCCTATGACTTTTTCTATCTAGTATTAACAAATCTTCATTGTCTATTATGTTTTTCTTTTCTCAAACAAAGAAAGGAAAAACAAGAAATGGTACAGTGCTACTTAAAATAATAAAATGATTATAATCTATACTTAAATGCTAGATTCTTTCCAAGTCAGCCTATTCAACCAAATTGCTTTGGAATGCAAGAAGTCATATTCCCTTTAAAAGAGTAATATCAAGGTAACTAGGACATGCCTCGTTTTCTGCATTTTTTGCTTACAGTTTTCAGCCTTCCTCCACTGAGAGTATACAGTGCCACAACAATAAGCAGTGGATATTTGTGTTTCTGGAAAGCAAATCCTGCCCTTCCAAATCATATTTCATGATCATTTTTCTATAAACAAATGTGCCAATACGATAATCAGATGTGGTCTCCATCAAAGGAATAAAAAAAACCTGGCATTGTTTCCATGATTTATCATTATGATCTGTGATCTTTAGATTATTACTCTCTGCAAGTTATTTTACATTAATTGCAATTTATAAATTAACAAAAGTGTATGTACTTAAAAAAATAAATGCATATTTATGAACATTTAGAATTCTTTTTTTTATACTTTTAACCAAGAAATACAAATGCAAAATCTGCTTAATTTAGGAAATGCACATGAAAGATTCCAGCTAATTTATCTTGGTGAAAATGACACAATATTAAAAAGAAGGCTTTTTATATAGTTATTCTCACTGAATGTACATGAAATATATTTTTGCTAGTGATATTCGTTATTCCTCTTTGCATTTCATGGCTATTTATATATTTTTTTCTATTTTGTTTTTCCAGCAATGAGGCTGTAGTCAAATAATGCTCAGCAACTGGATTTCTCTCTTTGGACTGAAAAATTAAACAGATACTAAATTATGACAGTGAATTTAGAAAGGAAGGCTCCAAGTGCTTGAAAGAACATGTCTGAGATAATATGATGCTTCTAAGAATATTGCAATCACATCCAAGCAATCACTGAAGCGTGCCATGTAACTACCTCCTCGGCTAATATGCCTTTTTCTCCATGATGACTAATCATGTTCTATTAAACAGCAGTAATGCTGGAAGAACTCAACTATATAAGTGTAATGAAGCCAGTATTCTCTCTGGACAGATTAGCTACAACTGATTTGACACATACCATCATAGGAGCTTCAGACCTGACAAACTCTGTGCTTGCCTCTGATTTATGCCGTCAAGCTCTTTGGAAAAGAGAATGAAACCCAAATGTTCAGTTTGGTAGAGATAAAATGTATGAATGCGTTTAACTGTCAGTTAAAGAAAGTTACATTTTTCCCCCTCTTTTCCCCTGTATTGTCTCTCCGGTAACTCTCATGCAATACTCCTAAAAAACCCACCTAGAGACATCCAGTAAAATGGTCCCCCCCACCGTCATGAGCTATTTCATTAGCATATCCATGATCCCTCTTCATCTTCTCCCTTGTATATTGTTTTCATTCAAAATCATTGCATTACTATAAATGGTTTCCGTAATTCTTTTTTTCCTTGTGTATTAACACTCTCAGAGCTATTAACAACATCCTGGTGGAAATGAAAAGAGGAAGCAGGGAAGCAAATTTTTTTAGAGACATAGATTTCCACTTTCAAGCTAATACAAGGTTGTAGAAGAAGATGAAGACGAATTAAATTACTCAGATGATGGAAGGCATCCTTGCACTGCTGTTGTTCTTATTAGTATTCTTCCGGGATAAATTGGGAGTAGCCATAAGGACAAAGTGCTCATCTGGACAACCATATTGCAGGAGGATATCAATGCATTCTTGGCTTGTTGCTTGTCTCGCATAGGCTAAAGCACTGTTTCCATGGGCATCGCATGCCATAACATCAACACCGTACTGTGGAAAGAACAGACAGCATTTCAAGCCCTGCACTTCTGAATAGCAACAGGCAGAGAAGTCTATAAGAAGAAGACTTTTCATTAAATTAAGGCCCACTTATCATCAATTTCTTATCTGGGGATTTTAAATCTGAGCTGCTTTTGCCATATCCTTTGCTAAAGAACCCCGCAACAGCATTGATGCTCCTGTATCTTTGGTCTGAGTGACTTCATATCAAAATGACACGAGGATCATATCTTAAGATCCACACCTAAATAAGTCATAAGAGAATTCAAAATAGATTTGAGGGGTATCAGTCAAAGCAGGACTGTGTCTTTAATAAAAATATCTCATACCAAGTTTTTTTTCCCTGTTGGAAGCAAATGAAAGAGCATCTGGCTATCTGATTCACTGACAGTGGCAATCTGAACATTTTTATTAAGCTTGTTTCAAAACCATGTGGCACTTATTTACCCAAATTAAGAGCTGCACCAACACGACGTTTCCTTTCCTGCAAGCCAAATGTAAAGCTGATCGCCCATCTCCTTCTCCACAGGTTTCATTCACTTCTTCACGTGTTCCATGTGCAAGAAGCAGGATGACAGTCCGCAAATCTTCCTCTGCAGTTGCTCGTAGTAGGTGCTGACCTAAAGAAAGGTCTAAACATTGCAATGGAGCAAGAAAGTGTTTTTGCTCGTATTTGGCCCGGATCCACTGCTCTTTTTCTTCCCTAGGAAATAAATACATATTATCATTCAGTATAAATCTTCATCATTTAGGACTATCCTCAAACTGACCTTTAAATTTACATACACAATTTGACAGTTTAAATACTTCAGATAAAAAAATATTATCAGAATTATTTTTAATCACATATAAACAGATGTATCCCAACTCTTTGTGTACTACATAACACACCTAAACTAAAAGTGTTAAAAAGTGTAAATGATAGTAGAATCAATTTACGATTCAGCTATATCACTACATTGATATATTCCATGCAATTTAGCAGAAGTGAAAAGAAATTGCAATAACTATTTTCTAGCAACAATTGCAGATTCAGTAAGAAAGTTTCCTGTATCGCATCAATCATTTTATAAATCATGCTCTTAGATAATAAAAATGTAAAATTATAAATATATATATATATATATATATATATATATATATATATATATATATATATATATATTTGTTGTGTTTCTATCCCAAATATTCTGCATTGCGTATGTGGACAGATGTGCCTATGTGTCTGTTTCCTTAGTATTTCCTCAAGCTTTCTGATTGGGCTGAGAAATATTTTAGACGAAAGTTCTTGATCAGCCCTATGATCAAGCAGGGACCTGAATCTAGCATTCCCTTATCCAGGTCTGGAGACTTTAAAAGCCATAAAATAATGAGATGGAAAATTCAACCTAGAACTAAGGAGAAATTTCCTGACAGTGAGAACAATTAATCAGTGGAATGGCTTTCCTCTAGAAGTTGTGGATGCTGAATCACTGGAGGTTTTAGGAAGAGATGGGACAGCCATTTGTCTGGAATGGTATAGGGTCTTCTGATTGAGTAAGGGGTTGGACTAGAAGACCTCCAAAATCCCTTGCAACTGTGTTACAGTTTACTCTTTAGCAGATATAGTAATAGTTTTAACAATTCAGTCATGTCTGAGTTTTGGCAACTTTATAGGTAAGCGCTTTTCATGCTATCCTGTTAAGCACTGCTTCTTTCAGTTGTTGGATGCTATCTTTCTATCAGCTTTGAAGATATCGAGCCAGCGAATTCTTTGCTTACTCCTTCTTCTTGATCTACTAACCATTCCTAGTGTTGGAATCGATTTGCTACAATTTTTTTAAACTTACTTAAAAACTAAAACACTCGGGGGTTTAAATTACTTTAATATGTTTTATAACCCGCGAGCTAGTTTGATAAAACAGTGAAAAGGATTGGGCTAGAATTCAGGAGATGATGAATTTTAGTCTTGTGTCTTGGGCAAAAACTCTGCTGGGCGACATTTGACCAGTCACTCTGTCAACCCTAGGAAGGAGGCAGTGGCAAGCTACTTCTGAAAAAAAAAATCTTAGCATGAAAATTTCAGGAGTCAATACTGACTCCAGCCCCCCAAAGCCCCATACAAAAATAAAGAATACATGGGTAAAAGATAAGAATTAACATTCAGAGTTACAACAAAAAGTGACATCAGCAATCATTGAAACAGAAAATAATTAACTCTTTACTAGGAATAAGCAACAGCATTTAGATTGATATACCATTTCACAGTGCTTTACAGTCCTCTCTATGCAGTTTACAGAGTCAGCATATTGCCCCCAACAATCTGGGCCCTCATTTTGTGACCTCGGAAGGATGGAATGCTGAATCAACCTAAACTGCCAAACTGCAGGCAGCAGGCAGGCAGCAGAAGTAGCCTGCAGTACTGCATTCCAACCACTGCACCACCATAACTCTTTAAAGTGATAGATAATATCTGATATATGTATCTGATATAACACCTGGAACACTGCAACCAATTTTGGTTACCACATTACAAAAAAGATGTTGAGACTTTGGAAAAAGTGCAGAGAAGAGCAACTAAGATGATTAAAGGCTTGGAAACTAAAACATATGAGGAACGGTTGAGGGAATTGTGTTTGGCTAGTATAGAGAAAAGACTAGCCAACGTGATAGTATTCCAGTATTTGAGGGGCTGCCACAAAGAAGAGAGTGTCAAATTATTCTCCAAAGCATCAGAGGGCAGGACAAGAAAAAAGTTGGAAATGGATTAGTAAGAGAGAAGCAACCTGGAATTAAAGAGAAACTTCCTAAGAGTGGGGTCAATTAACCAATGGAACAGCTTGCCTTCAGAAATCGTGGGCGCTCCATCACTGGAGGTTTTTAAGAAGAGACTAGACAGTCATTTATCTGAAATGGTATAAGTTCTTTTGCTTGACCAGGGGGCTGAACTAGTAGACTTACAAGGTGCCTTCCAGGTCCTCTCCTTCCTCTTGTTGATATTATCCGTGTGTTTCAAAAATAGGTATTCGTAATAAAGCTTCCTTAAGAAACAGTATTACTTTCTTATCTATTTTATTTCTTTTTAAAAATACTTCATTATGTAAATGAGATTAATATTAATACATGTTAAAGCAATTCAGTAATTCATCATAAAATAATAAAAACAAATAACCACAATCAACTAATTAGGGTGTTCAATCAATACAAATTATCACCAGTAATAATAGCATAATAATAAATTTTTAATAGCCACCATCACTCCACAATCCTTTGTCTTCAATGAGCAATGAAAACAACATAGGAAGACATTGGTCATGTCCCACATGAATGTCACCAAACTCAGATTCTATTCAAAGTACAGCAGTATGCATAAAAAAGGAACATCTTAAGATCCCCAAGTCATTTAGGGGTCAGCAGCTGTCAGTGAGATGTATATATAAATAATGTACAGTCAAATAAAGCCATAGTCTTATGCTCTTTGAGTCAGATTCTACTTTGGATCAATAAAAATCATGGACCAGTAGGTGCAAATCAGAAAAACATCCATAGCTACTCTGTTAGTTCCTCAGTGCAATGAGAAATGGAGTGTTAAATGATAAGTATGTAATAAACCATAAATATTAAGAAAAACAATATAATATTTTGTGAATCCAAATGTTACATTATGCAATTGGCATTAAACAACTGTCCAAATAAGGGCACACAGAAGACACAGTGTTGGCTCATAGGCCTCAGTTTATCTACATCAATGCAATACTTTTATTTTTAATTATTATGAAATTGTCCTTCAGCATAAAATTCATGGAAAATACAGGAAGGCTGGAGTATGGACCATAAGAAATAAAACTCATCTATGAAATGCTCAGTGACTTGGATTAATAGTAAAAAGTAATCACAGATGCTAGGCTGAGAGGTTTCTATATCCCGCTTGAATGTGACTTTGCCTTGTAGTTTGAAAGAGACTGATAGATAGTTCTCCTTATAAGAAAAATAAGTTACTCCCAAAATATAAGGGGAAAAGGAGCATTGTGGACATTCCTTTTTCAGACTATAATTCTACTGTGTTGTTTCAACTGATAGATGAACTGACCAGTCTAATGTTTGATTGTCAGAGCCATGGCTCTGTTTTGAGGTGTGGAAAAGAATTTTGCCTTTCTTCACAAGAAAGTTTCTGGCATTGAGCTGGGAATGCGCAGAACTGAAAAGTGAGGCTGATCTTCACTCACAAAACCAAAAATTAGCACGACAACAATAAGAGCTGACTGGACATGGATATAGTTACTGAATTGGATATTTAAAGGAAACTGAAAGAGAAAAACCTCCAAGGACAACAGAATGTATTTTGTCTCAAACATTTCCATATATGTTCCTCTTCCTATTCAGGGTATTTGATTCAAATCACAAATCAAAGAAATTTGTCTGAGATAACAGTCTCATTTTGGAGATCACAGTTTATTTAGATCCAGATTCCCTTTTCCCCAAGGAAAGGTAGTCTGTAAGTAGAATTGACAGCACTGGTTCACTTAGCATCATTGCAATCCCTATGAAGTCCATGCTCGGATACTCTGTTAATTAATGAGCTAAAAATAAATTATTATAGCAGGTGGCAATACGGAGAAAGGAACCAATCAAATGCTTTACTTTAGTACGTAATGATATTCCTTAAATAAATTAGTTGGATAAAAGTAAGGAAAAATGTGGAGAATAGCAACTAATTAGCAAAGGGCACTCCTTGTCTTTCTAAGCAAATTTTCCTGTACTAAAGTTAGTAAACTGTAGTTGTCATGATCCTAAGCAAATAAAAATCATGAAAACTTTGGTTAGAATCAATGCACTTCCTAACAATCATAGCATAAGTTAACCCAAAGGAAGGTAAAAATATGAATTTTCACCATTGTGATAGATCCTCAAGAAACTGGTTGCTTTTTCAAAGTTTTGTCAGTTAGCAGGACTAAGATATTGTTTCAAATAACTTTTTCTAAAATACATTTCAAAATACTCTTCATTTGAATTATGAATGAAATTAGTGCTGTTTGAACGAAGGTTTATCAAATTAATAAGAGGAAGCACAATTTGAAAGACTACGCAGTACTTTGTAAAACAGCTAAAGACTGTAAAACCCTTTTTCTTTCAACCTGTTACTATGAGACTAAGCTTTGTTTATAACAAAGGACTGATATCACAGGATGCAAATCATCATGCTGCTGCCTCCTCTATACCAGAGAAGTGATGATGCATTAAAGCCTGACGAAACAGCACCATCAATTTCCTGGCTTTAATATGCATCTTTACCATCAATGAACTCAAAGCATTTTTAATGCAAATAATGGAAACTGATCCCTGTTTCCTACTTTGCATAGAGGCTATACAAATACAGCCCCAAACCCCTTTTGTTTATTAGCTCTTTTAAGATAACATCCAATTAACTTAAATGTCCTTTTCTGGCATTTGAACCGTATTCATTGTAAACTGAAAAGCAACCAGAAAACTTGGATGGGGAGAAGAGGGGAAAGAAAATTATCACAAGTCAAAAAGCAAATATGCTTTTGACTATAATTTTGCTTCAGAACATGCTATGCCATCAGAGCATGGTAGAGTATAAATATTCAGCTGTGAGTTAGCATCCAGGCAGGAATTTTTAATATAGATTACATTTTTTAAAAAGTCAAGATTTTAAACTGGTTGAAAACACCTATAGCATTCAGAAAAATTTTGAATTTAATA